GGGCAGGGTGTAGTGGTCCCCTCATGGCAGATTTCAGTCCACAGCTCAACTCTGACTTGTGTGTTTGTGTTTCAGAGTGAGTTTAATGTTCCCTTCAAAGTAAAGGCTGGACAGATTGGTGAGTACTGGGACTCTGCATTATTTATAATAATCCTGTTTTTATGGTTTTCATTTGTTTAGACTCAAGATGGTATTAAAAAAAAACAACTCTTGAATAAAAGTCTATTATCTTCTTCTGAAACTCTTAATTATGAAGGGGGGCAGCAGTTGAGCTACTGCCTGAAACTCCAACATCCATCATCTACCTCATTTTATAACCACCTAAGCTGAAAAAAGTACACTTTTTGATGATTGAACTGTATATGAAATGGAAAGATTGTGTAAAAAAGAAGTTTGTTTATGAAAATGTAGTAAGTAAGTAGGAAACAAGTAAGAAATATGTAGGAAGCAAGTCAGGAAGTATGGTATGCTATGGTATAAAGTTTATTCATTTAAAAAAAGTACAAAACAATTCCATAACAATATAAAAAAGATACAAAAGATTTACAATGAAAGGCAGCAGAAAGCAGAAAAAATCTTATTATATCTGCCCATTATTTCAAACAATTATTTCAATCATAAAGGAAGTAAGTCTGGAAGTAATAAGTAAGTAGAAAGTAAGTAGGAAGTAAGTAAAAAGTAAGTGTAAGTAATAAGTATATAAGAATTAATTAATAAGTAAGTAATAATTAAGTAAAGTAAGTAGGTAAACTATAAAGCACCTTTCATAGATAAAATTGCAAAGTGCTTTACAGAAATACAGAATACAGGATAAAAAAACAGTAAGAACAGCTGATAAAAACCGTAAGAACAGCTGATAAAAATATTAAAAACAGCTAATTAAAACAGTAAAAACAGCTGATAAAACATTGAAAACTGCTGATGAAAACAGTAAGAACAGCTGATAAAAACCGTAAAAACAGCTGATAAAAACCGTAAGAACAGCTGATAAAAACCGTAAGAACAGCTGATAAAAACCGTAAGAACAGCTGATAAAAACCGTAAGAACAGCTGATACATACAGCGGTGGTGGGATGCATCACAAACAATGATGAGTCCAGCTACAGGCAGGAGGTGGAACACCTGGAGAGCTGGTGCAGAGAGAATAACCTTCACATCAATGTGAAGAAGACAAAGGAGATGATTGTGGACTTCAGAAGGAACAAAAACACCTACACCCCCCTGAACATAAGAGGATCTGCGGTGGAAGTGGTCTCCAGCTACAAGTACTTGGGTGTACACATGAATGACAACCTCAGCTGGAGCAACAACACCACCAGCCTGATCAAGAAAGCTCATCAGAGACTCTACTTCCTCAGACGGCTGAGGCGAGCTGGTCTGG